AAACTATGTTATGATGGATCTATTAATGCCAATTTCTCTTTTATTATCTTCCTATAAGTGCTAGAATTTTACAAGTTGATCTCTTCCATCAAATGCATCATTTGCCCATTCTTATTCTGGAGATTCAGACTTCCTCATTAACCTTAGTATTGTTTTGTTTGTTCCAAACTTAACAACACCACCACAACCTCCAATTGATTATTACAAATTATTAAGCTGATTTACATGGATATGAGGTACTTCTCCTCCTTGGAGCAAAAACCAAGAAGACTCTGTGTCCATGGGCCAAATGTAATCTGCATATCCCATGCACACACACACACACACACTGTTTGATGTAAAGATAGCTTTGTTCCATGGGCCTCAAATGTGCCATGTCTTAGCTGAAGATCATGCATTTGTGCCTATGTGAGATACAATGGTGTTCTTAAAACCATAAGTTCGTTGTTGAGCATGAATCATGTTTTGATACTTTTGCAAAAAAAGTAAAATATAAATAGGTAAGTTTCACGTACAGGTCCATCCAAAATAACTTTTACTTTTGCTTTCACCCCTCCAAATTTAATTTTATATATATATATATATATATTTATTTATTTATTTATTTATTTATTTATTTATTTATATGTATGTGTGTGTGTGTGTCCTTGCAAAACTACAAAACTTGCTTTATGCAGTAGAACATTAAGGTAAAACTATAATGATAATAAAAATATTAAGAGAATTTTATCCATTTTAATTTTTTTTTAAGAGAAAATTTCAAACTAACTATAGGTTAAACACCTGAGTTTCCCAAATTTATGTTAACAGGAGAGGTATATTGCGAGGATCATCATATTTCAAGCAACATGCATGCATGCTATATTATAATCAACTTTGCAAGGATATAGTGTAGGTCATGACGTGTATAAGTCATTACTTTTTCAGAACGGCAATCCGTCGAACATAATGACTGCAACCGGATAGTCGTTGATAATTTCTGGTCCTTACGGCAAGAACACGTTTCGAATCCATTCTATAACCGACGAGACTTACAAAGTGAATACCTTTGATAAAGATCCTCGGCGAGGGTGAAGACCCGGGGAAAATCGCGGAATCTGAGGTCGCGCATCCACGGACGGGTCCAAGGACGCGCTTATCGCGGATGGCCCGAGCAGATATCGGAGCGCACGGCAGTCCGGAGAGCGGTGGGCGCGAGAACAGCGTTGCGGGGATAGCCGAAGAAGGTCTCAGCCGGGAGAGAGGAGGGAGAACGGACAGTGAAATGGGCCGATGGTGGTGAAGCGTAGCCATTTCGGACAATGGTGGATGCCGTGATTTTGTTTTCTAAAATAGAAAAATAAAACTGATATTAAGTAAGAAGTAAAAAATAATTTTTCTTTTAGATTTATGAATGCTTGGGTGGAAAGACAATGGCCAGAGGAAAGAGATAATTTTCACAAGTTCCATGTTTTGAAAATTGGACGTTTAATTATAAACTCCCATTTGTATCAGTGTAGTGTTTGCAAAAGAAACCGTTATGATATTTAACGATAATATATATTTCTATACCTCGGCATCTCAAATTTTTTTTGTTTAGTGACATTTGAGATCAGAGTTTGACTATAAATATCATACATTTTCATTCCTGGAAGCTCCAATTGGCTGGTCGCTTGCCTCTCTATCTTCGATCCCTACATACAGGTCGGGGTTGGGAAGGGGGTTTTCGATTTCGACCCCTCAAAAGATCTTGTTAGCACTGAGTGAAAAAAAGGAGCCGAAGTCCCTTGTTATTGGTCCCATACGGGATTTTTATTCTTCTGCTAGGAGATCAGTTGTACTTATCATATTTATGATTGTCGGTATTATACTTGGACCGTGTTGACCCGATCATTATGGGAAGGCATTGTCCTTAGTCGATGCCAACCCAGTCTTCGTGGGGTGGTGCAGTATTTGGTCAGCACCGTCCAGACTCTTGAGGATCGGCGTGGTTCTCGATTGACGACAACTCAATCTTCACAAGACGGTGCCGTACTCAATTGACGTCATTTGACTTTTACAGAATGGCATTGACCGTGGGGTACAATTCGACGTATCGTCCTTTATGCTGATGTGGCTAGGGATAATGGCAGATTACCCTATCACATACATTTTCGTTCAACTGGCAAGGCAATAGTGCACATTCAACTTAATAACTAAAAAAAGAACACATAGGTGTGAGGAAGTTTTATATTTATATTTTAAATAATATATTTTTTAAATTTAAAATAATTGTGGTTGATGAATTTTTTTTAGTTAAAAACATTACATTCGGCTAAGTTTGTTTCGTACATAATATACGATATTTCTTCGAATAAAAAGAGGTTTGGTGGGGGCGAACATGTGGACCTCGTGCGTCCTTGTTGTAGCTACTGCATCCACTCCCCCGTCCTTGGACTACTCGCCACCCTCGGCACAGATCTCACAGGAAAGAGAGGAGAGAAGAAGCCGTGAAGATGGCGAGCCCCCAGTGCTGCGCCAACCCGCCGACTCTAAGCCCTGCCTGTGGCGACGGCATCGTCGTCGACGACCTCGGCGGCGTCAGGGCGTACACCGCCGGCTCCCCTAACTCCAAGATCGCTGTTCTCCTCATCTCCGACGTATACGGTGATGTACTCTGCTCCTCTCTTAAGCTTCCGTCCGTCTCTTGCCCGTTCCCGCTTCTCCTTCCGTCCGTATGTATGCTTAGGGTTTCTAGGGCCTTTGTGCTTTCTTTCTTTCTTACGGTTGTGTCGCTGACATGCTTCGTCCGATGGAATGTTTGCAGGATTCGAAGCGCCGAATTTGAGGTACCGATTTCATTTATTGGCGTTTGTGTTTAGGCCGTGACTTGTGTGACTTCCGATTTGGTTGTCTTCCATGTGTTTTATTGGCTTGCCCACGTTGACATTAGAAGGAAACTTCTGAGGGCATCTTCTAGGTAAACCGTTCTGGTGGTCTGTGATCTCCATGTCGGTTCTTTCTTAGTACAGCAAACAGAGGGGAAGACCTGAGGCACTTATTTGACCTTGAAAGTTCTCTGACTTTGGTCAGTATGGTGGATTAGTAATCATATGATTAAGACCCAAACAGATGGTGGTACAAAATATTAATTGACGTGAGACTGTTAGTAATATGAGACATGAGCTTTTGATCGATCATGCACTAATATTTTCAGCTGAAAAAAGCTTATACAGCCAAGTATATGAACGTACAATACCTTGGAAATATATATATTCAATAACAAAATAGCAAGAAAAACGATCAATGGAATGGTCGAATTATGTGGCTAGGCAGTGCTAGGGGCTAATTTGGTGGAATCATAAGCTCATATCACATGATCAAGCCGAAGTAGTTCCCAAGTCTCACTGATAGTTAAGAAAGCTGAAAGACATCCTATTTACTCTTTTTAGCTGGCTGTGTTTATGATTGGTCTAATCATAGGTGCCTCTGCCTCTTTTCTGTATATGATGAACTGCTTCTGTTCAACTGTGGCCCTAAATTTATGTCTTTGTACTTGTTCACGTTATATCGAGTGTCTATTTTCCCCTATCATCTTCTTTATATCACTGAAAGGCTGTTTGATCGTTTGTAATTCTACATGAAACTTAATATTTCTTACCAAAATATTCTGTATTCTTGCTGATATTATCCAATAAATTCAGAACACGGATGCGATAATCTCTGTTATTACTAATTTCATAAACCCAGTAGGGTGGACTGTCACAAAGCCTGTTCTACCATCATTGTTTGCAGGCAGCATGGACTGCTTTGTTGGTTTTTTAGTGTTTTAACCCATTTCAATTGTTTGTATCGTAACACCACCAGGCTACAAAATTATGATATTTCTTTCTGAACTCTTGGTCATTTCAAACAAAATTTATATTTTGGATTGGAGATAATCCTAGGATTCTGTATTATTTTTTCTGATGGTTGGTAATGTTTTATTGGTTGTTTTCTGTTGTTTATCTACATTTACATCTTCATTTTATTTCCTTTTATTGCATTAAAGATTTTGTGAACTTTTAATGCTTACACTTGCAATGTCTGGTTGTAAAGGAAAATTGCAGATAAAATTGCCACCTCAGGTTTCTTTGTTGTGGTACCAGATCTCTTATATGACGATCCCTATTCAGCTGATAATCCTGAGAGGCCTATTTCGATTTGGATACAGTCTCATTCCCCGGTTGGTTTCTTATCTTGCATCTTGAATTTCTCCCTGTACAAGGGGAGTAAATCATTGTTTGGGTAATTTTCTCCGGTTGTTCTGGCACTATATTTTGACAAACACTATATGAATGAAAGAATTTCCCATTGATCTTAGTGAAAGAAAGTGTGTTTGTTATTCATCTGAAAAATTGTTAATAGCGGAAAAAAAAATCAATAGAATGGATAACCAAAGGAAAAACATAATCCTCCAATTTTTATTGATAAGGTGTTTTTATCATAAGACTTGATAGTGTAAACAACCTTGAGCCGCGGCCTCGGGGCCGACGCAGCTTGGTTCGGGTCCGGATGATGGGGGGATCTTCCTGGGATGACCTTTGAGTCCGCTGAGGTGGCCGGCTACGATGGTCCGATCGGAACGGGGTCGTCGTTTTCTCTGGGAGGAGGCTCCTCGTCAGGGCGTTTAGTGGGAGGCCACCGTCTTCGCACCTGCACACAGGTCGGGTCGGGAAGCTCGACCCGACCCCTCCGACGATCAAGTTAGTGGATAGTCACAGGGGGTTTGTTTAGCTAAGTTTTTTACCTCCCCTCTCCCTCGGAGCACGAGGGTTTTTATAGTGGGAGTTACCGTCGCCTGATGTGCTTGATGTGTCTGCCCGCAAGATCGTACTCCTGGTAGCGTCTGACATCGATGCTGGCGTGGCGTGAGGGATCGAGCTTGAGCGGGGTGTTAATGTGCCTTGGTAGGCGTTCCAGTTCGCGTTGACCGGGTGCCTCATCAAGTTGACAGAGGTGTGATGCGTCACCTGGTGCAGCTGATGTCACGTGAGACTTATCGCAATTATTACCCTCATCATATTCCCTCCCGGAAAGAAGCTATGTGTCGGTTGTTGTACTGGGAGTCCGATGCATGGCTTCGGCTTTGAGAATCTGTCCCTGCCGAGCGTTAGCCGGTCCGTTGCCAGGGGTGCGGGGATCATGGAGTTCAATATTCAAGGAGGGTCGCGTGCGCAGCGGTGACCCTGGGTAGTCTGCGACCGAGGAGCATAATTCAGTCGAGTAGGCCGAGCAGAGGTTGTGGTCTCGAGCGACACGCGGTCGAGGAGCACGGCTCAAGCGGGCAGGCCGCGCAGAGGCAGTGGTCTCGGGCAGCACGGAGCCGAGGAGCGCGACTCAAGCGGGCAGGCTGCGCAGAGGTAGCGGTCTCGGGCGACATGCGGCCGAGGAGCACAGCTCAGGCGGGCAGGCCGCGCAGAGGCAGTGGTCTCGGGCAGCACGGAGCCGAGGAGCGCGACTCAGGCGGGCAGGCCGCGCAGAGGCAGAGGTCTCGGGCAGCACAATGCCGAGGAGCGCGACTCAAGCGGGCATGCCGCGCAGAGGTTGCGGTCTCGGGCGACATGCGGCCGAGTAGCACGGCTCAGGCGGGCTGGCCGCGCAGGGGTTGTATGGCTCATGCGGGCAAGCTGCGCAGAGACAGTGGTCTCGGGCGACAGGCGGCCGAGGAGCACGGCTCAGGCGGGCAGGCCGCGCAGGCGTGGTCTCGGACAACATGCGGCCGAGGAGCAC